GCCTTTACTTATAGTCTGAACCATATTTGGAAACAAAGAAAATAAACACCTTTCCATCACTTAACTCTTGTGCCCCACTCACTTATGATGCCAACGAAAGAAGGCTAATACACATAACAAATCACCAACTCAAACCGAACTCATTTTGGCCTAGGCGAACCTAGCTTAGCTTAGCCCGCTTAGCTTAGCGATAACTTAGCTTATAGAAAATGTACAAACAGAGGATGTCCAGAGCGATAAACATACAGGCTATCCTTCTTACACAAGACATATCCTGTAACTCACCAGTCTTATGGACGCACACACTCTCATTGAACCCACATAAACTGCTCCCGAGCATAACTTGTTATTCACACTGCCTCCATGAACACCATTTTCCATCCCAGTCAAAACATTACTCACAAAACAGCCGTGCCCTCTAGTGGCGAGGCAGAAAACTGCATCACAGTCCTGCCTTCAGAACAGCCGCCCCCAAACTTGCACTCACAAGTTTGCAGAATGTCGTTTTCTTTCCATTTCATTCTGGTACTGCAGGTAGTCGAATAATGCGGCTCACTGGGTGTACATAGGTACAGTCCTTTATGTTCACTTCTGCAGACCGGATCAAACCATCAGCTCTGGGGAATACCCTGTTGATCTTCCCAACAGGCCATGATGCTCTGGGAAGTTGGGGATCCACTATCATCACCACAGTGCCCAGCTGGATCGGAGCAGTGTCTTTCTGCCACTTTGACCGTGTCTGCAGTGTAGGCAGGTAGTGGCGTATGAACTGTGTCCAGAAGCGATCGGATAACACCTGACAGGTCCTCCATGGTTATCGTCCAATGAGCTCTGAGTCGTGGTATATCACTTGGGGTAGGGAAGGGTCTAGCCGCCCCATCAGCAACAAATTTGGGGTAATGGGGTCTGGGTCAGCCACATCTGATGACACGTACCCCAAAGGTTTCGAGTTGAGCATTCCTTCGATCTCGATCAACACTGTTTGGAGGATTTCCTCTTTTACAACCTGCGAGCCCAATGTGGAGGCCAGAGCTGCCTTTATGGACCTGATCTCTCGCTCCCAGGATCCTCCAAAGTGGGGAGAACTGGGAGGGTTAAATTGAAACTTGATCTGCTGCTCTGCTAACTTGCTTTGTAAAGAGGGATGCAGGGCATTGAAAATTTCCTGGAGCTCCCGATCCCCACCTCGGAAATTTGTTCCCTGGTCACACAGTATCTCAGCTGGTTTCCCACGACGAGAGACAAATCTTCTTAATGCCATTAGAAATGAGTCGGTGTTGATGCTAGACAGCACCTCAATATGAATGGCACGAGTCGTCAAGCATTTGAAGAGCAGGCCCCAGCGTTTTTCATTTCTCTGACCAACCTTCACCTGCATTGGCCCAAAGCAGTCGATGCCTGTTGAGAAGAAGGCTGGCTGATGTAATCGTAGGCGTGCAAGGGGAAGGTCAGCCATCTTTGGGTTGGCAGGTTGGGCTCTCCATTTTTGGCACTCAGGGCAGGAGCGCTGTTCACTTCTTATGGCTTCACGGCCGCGAAGAATCCAGTATTTCCTTCTCAACTCTGCAAACAATCTCTCTGCTCCTGGGTGTTTCAAATCACTGTCAGCCTGTCGGATGAGTAGTCTGGTGACTGGATGTTTAGGGTCCAATACTACTGGATGTATCACAGCAGCTTCCAAATCCTGGCATCGTCTGAGACGACCACCTACTTTTCTGAATTGAAGTGACTTATCAAATTCCGGGTCTAGGCAAAACAGACGGCTGGATGAGTGAACTGGTTTCCCAGTGGTCAGACACTGGATCTCATCTGAGAAACTGTTTTTCTTAGCAGCTCTCAGCAGAATAAGCTCAGCCTCCTTGTAGTTCTCTGATGTGAGATTGTCACCAGCCACCCCGTGAAGGCACCTGGCTGTTTCTTAGAGCGGGCAGTCAGGAAAGCAACTTCCACCTCTCCAGCAGCATCTTCCGTCCGTAGGTAGGCAACACTTCCATATGTCTGTTGAGATGCATCGCAGAAGATGTTCCACTCATGCCTAATGTTGGATTTGTCCAGCTCTGGGCTTACATAACAACATTGTAGACTGATGTTGTCCAGATGCTGCAGCTGACCTTCCCATTCGTTCAATGCAGAGAGCAGGTCACTTGGTAACAGGGGGTCATCCCACTCACGCTTTTTGTCCCACTACTGCTTGACTAGTACCTTCGCCCTCGTTGTGAAGGGGACAAGAAACCCTAGTGGGTCATACTGACTCGCCAGAACCTGGTAGATGTTGCTCATGGTAGGAGGATTCCTCTCCAACTGCATGGACTTGTAGTGCAGAGTGTCAGAGCAGCACATCCAGCGCAGACCTAGAGCAGGTTCTTGAACGTCCATATCAGTTTGATTCAGCCACTGTATGCTGCTCTCCAATCTTATATCCTTTGGTAGATGGCTGATGAGATCTGGGGTGCTGCTGGCCCACTGTCTGAGCTCAAATCCTCCCTCCGATAATAGTGACCGTAGTTTGTCCACAACCTCTGTGGCCACATTTGGAGAAGCAAATCTCTGTAACCAGTTGTCAACATAAAAATTCTTCTCAATGGAGTCACGCACGTCATCTCCCTGGTCACTGTGGTCATGGACGTGTCACTGGAGTGCATAAATTGCACAGCATGGTGAGCATGTTGTCCCAAAGGGGAACACCTGCCATTCATAAACCTTGGGATGGGTGTCTCTTTGCAGATAGCGCCAGATGAAACGTAGTAGTGGCCGGTCCTCAGGCAGTAGTCTCACCTGGTGGAACATGCCCTTGATGTCACTGCTAACTGCGATGGCGCGCTCTCTGAAGCATAGCAGCACACCAAGAAGAGAGGTCCCCAGGTTCGGGCCTGGTAAAAGCAGCTTGTTGAGGTTCTGATCCCTATAGGTGAATGAGCAATTAAACACCACATGGTTCTTTCCATTGTGTGTCACCATGTGGTGGGGGATGAACCATGATTCTTTGTAGGCCCTAATTATCTCTTCACTGATTTCTCTGACATAGCCTGCTGCTATCAACTTTGTCATCTCTGCTTGATAAGCTTTAGCCTTCTCTGGGTCTCGACTGAGGCGCTTCTCCGTGCCACGTAGATTGGGGAGTACTGCTTCAGGTGGCACCCAGAGTGTAGGCATATCACTGACATGCAGAAGGGGAGTTGAATATCTGTTTACTCCCTCGACATTCAGTCTTGTCGTCTTTGCCTCCAAAAGCCTCATAGCTTGCTCTTCCCTCCGAGACGTGTCACTAGTTTCTCACTTCGATATGGGAGAGTGTCGAGTTGCCAAAGCCTCTCTACTTGACTATGAAGCTCTGATTGAGGAGAGGCAGTTGAGAGGAAGAGGCACTCTTGCGGTTCAGCACAGTGCTTAAGGGAGGGGATTGGTCCCTGTAGTACCCAACCAAGTCTAGTCTTGACTGCAGGTGGTCCTCCAGGTAAGCCTAGGCACACAGGTTTGATGGGCGTTACTAGATGAGGACAATCAGAGCCGATCAGAAGGAGTGGCTGGGCATTTGTGAAAGGCTGCAAGGGAAGCCTTATCAAGTGTCTATATTTCTGTTGAAGTGCTTTCACAGGGTATGAATGTTCAGCCAAGCATAGGTCATTAGCTGTGAAGGCTCTCTCAGTGGTGAATGTTCTGGATGGTTGGCTGGCAGGGGAGACTTTGACTGTCACTGATGCACCATGCAGGGTTCTCAATCCTTGTCTCACCATACGTAGAGTAAGACTCTCTGCCGTGCCCTGTAACTGCAGTCTTTGAGTGGCCTCAGGGAGAAGGATCGTCCTCTCAGATCCATCATTCAATATGGCGAATGTCTCCAGGGTGTGCTCACCGTTCTGCAGCAGCACTTTGGTTATCTTCAGAAGCACTTGGCTACAGCCAGCACGCTGGTCTAGAAAGTACCTCAATAGATGGTTTACTCCCCAGCTCAGTGATGTGTTCCATTGGTGGATTGGGTGCAGCAGGTCTGAGATTCACTTCATGCAGGGCCTCTAGGTGTTTTCCCCTGCATGTCTTACACTGCACTTTAAGTCGACACTGAGTGGCCTGGTGGTGCCGCCCACAACGCCAGCAGCGATTGTTGGACTTAATCCAAGTTGATTTCTGCTCCTTAGTCAGCATCTTGAAGTTGACATATTGATCTAGGAAGTGCAGAGTGTTATTACAATACGGACAATAAGCTGTGGGCTTGTCTTGGACCTCAGAAGTGGTAGTCCTTTTGGTGGCTCTTTTATCTCTTTTCATGCTGCTCCTGTCTCTCAAGCTCTCCTCTACCTTCTCTCTGTGATCTCCGTCCTCTTGAATGACCAGCTCATACTCCAGCCACTCTGCAAAGTCTCTCAATGATGGTATTCTATCTTTCTGTGGGTAAAGGTAGCGGCGGAAAGCAGCACGCAGGTCTTGGGTAGCTTTCATGTCAGTCTAGCAACATGAGACCCGTATTGCAGCTCTATGTGTCCATCTTCCCCAAGTTGCTCTAACATGCCGACCAGAGCACGGACTCTCAGTGCAAACCTTCTGAATCCAGTTGTGTCACCTGGGCGGATGCTGGGCTCATCCATAAGCTCTGCTATTCTCTGCAGTGACAGCTGGTGCGGCTGACCATAATATTTAGTGAGCGAGGCCATCGTGTCAGAGTACGGGTGAGGTGAGTTACTGTAGGAGTCAGCAATTAAAAGGGCTTCCTCAAATTTAAGGTGGTCAAATAAGACCTGATATTTGAACCTCTCGATTGCATCAAAGGGGAGAATATTGTCTAGGGCAAGCCTTAATCTAGCAAACTGCCTGGGATCACCCTTCGTGAACTCTGGGATGGAGGGCGATGGTCCTCTGTAGGTCTTCTCCTTTACATCTATGACTGTAGTGGGAGCCAACACTTGTTCTGGGGGGAGCGTGTTCGCGTCGAAGCTAGGTCCAGCTAGTGATCGAGATAAGGGGGTGGACTGTGGTGCACGAGGCTGAAAGTCAGGAGCTTCAGTGGCTGAGGGTTGCTATAACTGTAGCTCTTATAAGCGTTGGCTAAGCTCTTGTGCAATGGCTGGTAGCGGTGGAGGTGGAACAGACTGTACCTCTGGTGGATGAGGATGATCTCTCAGGAGGAGAGACCAATTTTGTTATGATGATTTCTGATATGAGGTTCAGTTCTACGGTGGTGATCGCAGGGTGTGCACAGGTCAAGTGCCACTATGACCCTCCAG